CCTCACAGACCAGGTGAGCCCAGTTCTAGCTGTTAACCTGTTAACCCCGTCACGGCACTCACAGACTAGATGAGCCCAGTTCTAGCTGTTAACCCCGTCACGGCACTCACAGACCAGGTGGGCCCAGTTCTAGCTGTTAACGCTATCATAGTTCTTATTTTAAAGGTGGGATGAGATTAAGATGGTATTTAGCCAGGACACACAGAAATGCCCATTCTTGGTCAGTCACCCCATCCCTCTCCAAGTCCCCAAGGGAAATGGATGCACAGAGATGAGTGGCTGGGGAAGGAGCCGCCTTTTTACTCCTGTAACGTTTTGCTCAGTGCAAATACTGGAAATGTGGCCTTGTTAATTGTCCTGGCTCAGACCAGTTCATAGCGTTATACTGTGTTTTGGGAGTGGGAATGACGGGAGGCGGGTGATGGTACCAACTACCAGACTAAATTGGCTTTGGTTTCCCGGGCCTCCTTGTTTATTTTGTGATGAAACAGGTGGTTCAGTGCGGTGGGAACACGTTCAGGCCGGAAGGGAGCCACCTAGTGGCTGTGTAGAGAACAGGAAGCCTGGAGAGGGCGAGAGGGAGACAGTCCTCCTGGATGTGGGTATTGGAGTGGCCAGCGCCCTGTGTATGACCTGCGCATTGTGCATTTTATGTTGAATTAAAAAATGTTTGGAATATCATTTTACAGACTGATAATAGCTTTTTCATTTGTTAATTATTAAAGTAAAATGTGCTCACATCAGTTCTTTAACCCCAGTTGAATTTGTTCATCAGTTAAAATAGGATGCCCCTCACGTTTCTAGTGTGGTTTCTTGTACGCCGTCAGTGTGTGCTCAAGCAGTATCCACTCATTTTAATACTAATACAAGCCAGGTAAACTTGTCTCGCAAATCATCATACACATCCTAAAAGCAATAAGATATTTGAAAATTGCTTGTACCACTGCTCTGTCTCCTTTGATAAAAATCAGAGTTTCATTCAACGTGTGTTTATTGACTGCTGATCACGTGGCAGGCACTGGGGATGTTGCATAAACAGGGTGCTAGTGGGAGATGACCAAATGGTTGAGCGCTGAATTGTTGACCAAAAGGTTGGTGGTTCACACCCACCCAGAGGCACCTTGGAAGTAAGGCCTGCTGATCTGCTCCCGGACAATCATAGACTTGAAAACCCTATGGAGTTCAGTTCTGTTCTGCACACTTGGGGTCACCGTGCATTGGGATCAACTCAAGGGCAGCCAACGACGACAGTGGGAGGTTGACGTGTAAATACATAATTGTAACAGTGTAGTCTGTGTGACTTTCATGAGAGAAGTCTGTATAGCAGTTGGGGAAGGAAGGCTCTACCTGGGAGATGTAAGAAAGGCTTCATAGAGGAGGTGATACTTGAGTTCAGTCCTAAAAGATAAAAAAAATTGTTCACTAGGTGGATAGAAAGTGGGCTGCTCCAGGCAGAATAAACAACCTAGACAAAAGCTCCGAGGTATAAAACAGTAATTCAAGGAACTGCAGCTAATTTAGTGAGAGATCAGACTAGAGAGTAGGTAGGGGCTAGGAAGTGGGCTGTGTGTGCTATGCATAAGCAATGAGAATTCTCTAGAAGAATTTTTATCAGGGAGCAAACATCATCAGATTTAATTTTAGAGAACTCTTTCTGGTAGCATGGAGGAAAGTGGGTCAAAAGAGTACATGGCGGGAAGAGGTAGTCAGACCAGTTAGGGTTCATTGTGACAGTTCAGGCTTAATACTTGTTGAATGACGGGATCCAGGTGTGCGGTGGACAAAAGAAGGGGAGGAGGCGTCTTAGCTGACTCCCTGGTTTCTAGCTTGGGTATTTGGGTGGAGAGTTGGCGCTGTTCACTAAGACAGTACAGGAAGGAGTGAGCTGTGGAAGAGGTAGGAGTTCTCGTTTGACTGTGAAGTCTGAGGTGGCCGTGGCAGGTGACCGTCTTCAGTAGGCTGCTGAATACGTGAATATAAAAACGAAGAGGAAGTCTGGGTTGCCGGAGAGGGATTTTAGTGTGATAAGCATATAGATGAGAGTAGACGAGATCATGGCCGTAGATCACCAGATGGAAACAAGGCTACAATCATTGACACAGTGACGTTTATGGGGCAGACAGAGTACAGAGAGGTAGGAGGATAAGAAGGTTTAAAGAGACCAGATGCCATGCAGAGGCTAGGAAGCGTGAGACCTGAAGGAAGAGTCCATGGATTTGGCAGTTACAAGATTGTTGGTGTCCTCTGTCAGATCAGGTAGGTAACCTAGGGGGCGGGGAGGGCAGAAACAGAAGCCAGCTTGCAGTGGGCTGGGAAGGAATGGAAGATGAAGAAGTGTGGATGAGAACAGAGACTATTGTTGTGTGTGTCTTGACTGGAAATGGGAGAAGAGCTTTGAGTTTGTAGTACCGATTATAAACCACATCTAAGAGAACAGAAGTGGGGTAACCTGAGCTGGAATGGGTGTTACCTTTTGGAACCTAATTGGAACTCTTAATTGCTTTATTATCATTTTTTGATTGTGTACCAAGTGCAAGTTTACAGAGCAGGTTGGATTCCCGTTTGATAGTTTGTACACACAGGGTTTCACGGCCCTGGTTTCCTTCCCCACTGTGCCAGCACTCTCCCCGTTGCCTTTTGTCCTGATTTTCTACCCTTTCTTGCCTTCCCGTCTTTGCTTTGGGCAAATGTTGCTCTTTTGACCTTGTATAATTGATTGTTCTAAGGAGCACATTCCTCTGGATGTTGCTGTTTACTTCACGGGCTTATCTGTTGTTTGGCTGGAAGGTGGTCTCCAGGAACGCCTCAGTTCCAGGTCAGAAGGTGTGGGTCTCTGACTGCCTTCTGTCTCTGCCTGTCTTGCATGCAGTCAGGGCTGGTATACACAGAGGACGAATGGCAGAGAGAATGGAATGAGCTGATCAAACTTGCCTCGAGTGAACCCCGCATGCACCTAGGTACCAATGGAGCCAACTGTGGTGGGTAAGTGTGGCTGGGTGGGGGAGCAGGAAATAAGTTTTCTGGAATCCCCTCTGGCCCCCACAGCCCAGTGTCTAGAAGCTCTGTGCTAAGTGGGTGTTGGAAGGAAGGGGAGGGGGCACAGCAAAGGCACAGAAATGTGTAACAGCACGGTATATCCTAGGAACTACAAGTCGTTCAGTATTGCTGCTATGTAGAATACATAGTACAAAATGAGAGCTGAGGCTGCAATCTGTATTTTCGTGTGCCGGGCCAAGGTTTCTCTTGTTCTGTGCTAGGAACTAAAATTGAATCCTGTCGAGATTTTGGGACACTGTTGGGATAAATGACCCGGTTTCTTCAGCAAATAAATGGCAGCATTGGTCTCCAGGGGTCTCTCGTCTTGTTTTCTTCCATTCCCTCCCTCGGCATCTTTCTGCCCTCTCCCCTCTTACGACCTAGGGTGGAGAGTGCAGAGGAGCCCGTGTACGAGAGTCTGGAGGAGTTCCATGTCTTTGTCCTCGCCCACGTGCTCAGGAGGCCCATAGTGGTGGTGGCAGACACCATGCTGAGGGACTCGGGAGGGGAAGGTGAGTGAGCCAGTCAGTCCACCCTGAGTGCCTCCTGTTCTCAGAGCCTCGGGCTGAGCGCTGGGAGGAGGGCAGGAAAGGGGATATAGAGACCCTTGGGGAAAAAACCAAAATATAAATTAGAACAATGCCGAATTCTCACGTGATTCAGAATAAAGCAGTTGGGTTAACTGACGAGGCTTCTTAGGAGAGAATTGTTAAGCAGGGATTGGAATGAATGGAGGACTCACTGGGCAGACTGCGGTGGGGAGACTGTTCCCTGGGCAAGGAGCAGCATAGTGTTAATGATACTCTTCATGGTTCACGCTTCTCCTGCAGCATTCGCCCCCATCCCCTTTGGGGGCATCTATCTGCCCTTGGAGGTCCCCGCCAGCCAGTGTCACCGCTCTCCTCTGGTGCTCGCCTACGATCAGGCCCACTTCTCGGCACTCGTGTCCATGGAGCAGAAGGAGAACACCAGGGAGCAAGGTGCTGAGTCAGTGTCTGTGTGTCCCGTGTCTGTGTGTCCCGTGTCTGTGTGTCCATGGAGCGGAAGGAGAACACCAGGGGACAAGGTGCT